ATGGAGTGGAGGATTACCCTTTTGAAATTGTGAAATAAGTTTTTATGTTTTTTTGGTAAATAAAAACCAGGATTGCCGAACCTATAGAAAGTAAAATAAGGGAATCAGGAGGGAGGTAGGGGTGATAAAGGGGAGGTGAAAGCCAGGTACCCAGAAAGAAATAGGAGTTTTGGGAACTGATTATGGAAGCAATGGTACAATTCTGCTTAAGGACATTGAACGATACAATGAAATGACATTTGGATTAATGTCGAAGTAAAAATAAATTGAAAGGCTAAAACAAACAAACATAGATCCAGGAATGGTATTGGGGTTCACTAAATCCCAACTCCAACTTAAAAACAATTAGTTCTTACATCATGGCCCATACTCACCTCTGAGAAGGGAACATGGAGGAGACGGGTGCTATAGCAAAATGTGGTGAAGACATTGGATGGTGCACGGCTATCAGATAAAATAGTGTCTGGGGTGTTTAAAAGGTTTGTCTCCAATCAGGCCATCATGTAAGTGAAATGTCAACTAAGTCCACATGGAAACAAGCCACCATCAGCCACTGGAGGATTGTGAAACATAAAATTTGAAGTTCAAAGTGGGGTTTAGTAACAAAGCCTAAAGTCTGAGAACCTAGTTTGCAGAAGGCTCTGGATGACAGTGATAGCCCAAAATTTACTGGTAGAAATAAACCTCTGGTGGACCTGCATCCAACCACAATGGAGAGAAGAAGAAAGTGGTCGGTACATGGAGTATGTTGATGAGATGAGTACAGAGGGTCAAAGACAGAAAGAAGCGTGACTTGAATAATTTTAACTGCAAGCAAAGTTCCCCCAGGAGGCATGCTGGACCTGCTCTGGATATCAAAATCTTATGTTTTGGGGGATTGTATTATTTTGTTTGGGTTTTGACTGTGCATATTAGGGGGGTTCTCGGGTGTGTTGTCATTGTAGGTTACCTTCTTGAAATTGTGGTATATGGATTTTTGTTTTTTCATTTTCATTTTTTGGGATATGAAAACCAGGGTGTTGAACCTATAGAGGCAGCAAGTGGAACAGTTTTGGGGGCAGGGGACATGGAGGTGGCAGCAGGGTAAAAGGGTGATGACATCATGAAGTCCGCATAGAAAAAGAATGTTTGGAAACTGATTGTGGCAGCCAATGTACAATTCTGCCGAACGAGATGAAAATATAGAATACTCTCAGAAGCAACAAAGCCCACATGGAACAACATATCAACCTGTGTGATCACGGGGTGTCGAACGGATCACTGAAGACAAATGGGTGCATAAGCAAATGTGGTGAAGAAAGCTGATGGTGCCCGGCTATCAAAAAATATAGCGTCTGGGGTCTTAAAGGCTTGAAGGTAATCAAGCGGCCATCAAGCTCAGAAGCAACAAAGCCCACATGGAAGAAGCACACCAGCCTATGCAACCACGAGGTGTCGAAGGGATCAGGTGTAAGGCATCATCAGAACAAAAAATCTTACCATAGTGAATGATGGGGGGAGTGCGGAGTGGAGACCCAAAGCCCATCAGTAGGCCACTGGAGATCCCCTTGCAGAGGGGTCCCGGGGAGGAGATGAGCCAGTCAGGGTGCAATGTGACAATGATGAGAAATACAACTTTCCTCTAGTTCCTAAAGGTTTCCTCCCCGCTCCCACTACCATGACTCGAATTCGATCTTGCAAGACTGGCTAGACCAGAGGAGGTACACTGGTACAGATAGGAACTGAAAATACAGGGAATCCAGGATGGATGAGCCCTATAGGACCAGTGGTGTGAGTGGCAAAACAGGGAGGGTAAAGGGAGAATGGGTAGGAAAGAGGGAACCGATTACATGGAACTGTGTGTGACCTCCTCCCTGGGGGACAGACAACCGAAAAGTGGATGAAGGGAGACGTCGGACAGGGCAAGATATGACAAAATACCCATTTATAAACTATCAAGGGCACATGCGGGAGGGGGGAGCGGGGAGGGAGGGGAAAAATGAGGACCTAATGTCGGGGGTTTAAATGGAGAGAAAATGTTTTGAGAAACGATGTACAAACGCGCTTTACACAATTGATGTGTGTACAGACTGGGATAACAGTTGTATGAGCCCCTAATAAAATGTTTAAAAATAAAAAATAAATAAATAAAATGAAACTGATCTTGAAAATAAAAATTAAAAAAAAGAAAAGAAAATATAGAATACTATATATACTCATGGATAAGCCAAGTTTTACAGCACATTTTTAATGCAATTTTTGTGGTAAAATTAGGTGCCTTGCCTGATATTCAGGTCAGCTTATACTCGAGTATTTACAGCAATCTAATATATATGTATTAAGCCCAAATAAAAATAATTTTAAAAAGAATACTCATTCTATTTTACTTCAGATTTGTTGGCTATAGGAAGGCCAATTTATAAAGGATACAAAAGTGGTGATGTGCCATGTCGTGAATATTTACAGGGAATCTATATACATTTCTATGTTAATGGTAGCTAGAAGTAAAGCACGCACCTTGAAGACTATGTACAGTCTCTTTTCTCAAACACTCAATTTCAAAGTTCCCTGCTTTAGCTTTAGTTAATATGTACTAGTGGTCCCTCCATAACTCAATAAAGTACTGTTCTTTAAACATCAGATTACACTATAATATAAAAGATAGTGAAAATTTTTTTTCAATCTCCATTCTCAGATAAAGTTCTGCAACATTTAAAAAGCTTAATACCTACCAGATGTAGTGGTGACTTATTTCCTCTTCATGCCTACGACAGACAGGAGGGGGGAATCCACTTGTCTTTTCTATATATTCTTTGTAGACAGAATTTATCTTTTTCCCTTCTAAGCTTTAGGGGTGGCAGCTGGTGTTGAGACCCTTTAACCAGGCTCCAGGAAAAGAGGAAAACAGGATGTGTTTTTCCCTCAGTGAGGCAAGACAAAAATGGCTGCACCAGCACAGATTTTAACACTGACCTTCCAAACGCCAATCAGTCACTGATAGTTCCAATAGTCAAGAACAGGCCAAGAAAGGAAGCTCTAAGAACAACTAAGAGTACCAGGTACCCTATTTGTATCTGAGACACCCAGCAAAAAAATGGATTTTTTCCCCAAAGCTATGTAAATATTTTTACAAAACAACCTTATCATCTTCAAAGTCTCCCTGACACTTAATACATTTGTCAAATCTGTGATTCTGTTCTAGAAACATTTTTCAAACTCATCTGTTTGGGTCACTGACAGCACCTCCCTCATTTTTTTCACTCTTCTATGTCATCAAGTCACTGTCCTTTCGTGTCCCTCTGCATTCACAGAAACAAAATGTTGCACAGAGGGAGGTCAGGTGAGTACAGTGTGTGGGGAAAGAGAGCATGCTGTCTTGGACCAATAATTGGCACACTGATATGGCTACATGAGCAGGTGCATTGTCGTGGCAAAACCAGTCCCCCGTCTGCCACAAATCAAGCCCTTTTTGTTACACACTGTTACACAATCTTTTCAGAGTCTCTCAACTAGAAAGCTTAACTAATAGTCTGACCTGGTGGAATGAACTCCCAAATGCACTATCCCCTCACATCAAAAAAAACAATGAGCATAATCTTAATCTTTGATTTCACCTGACGAGGTTTTTTTCGAGGCAAGGTGATAATAGCATCTTCCACTAACTTGACTGATGTTTGCTTTCAGGGTTGTAAGAACAGCACCAAGTCTCATCACCAGTAATGGTCTTGGAAAAAAGGTCTGGGTCACTTGGGAGCTGTTCTTTCAAAGCACATCATGTTTCCAGTCGATGCTGTTTGTCCTGGTCAGTCAGAACCTGAGGCACAGTGACCCTTCTCATTCCCAAATCTCCTGTTAAATTCGCTAAACCAAGCGCTAAAATAGTCCAGATAACTTCCCCATCTCTTCTACAGTCTGTTGTCGGTCTTTGAGCACAAGTCCATGAATTTTGTTGGCATTTTGTCTGTTTGGGAAGTTGATGGATGTACTGAACAAGGTTTGTCATCAATCGACATTCTACCTTTTTTTTCCCTCCCACCTTCTTTGAAATGAGAAAACCACTCATACACTTTTGAGTTTTTCCCATAGTGCTCTCCTTGTAAGCTGTGTTCAAATACCACAACAGTTTCTGCAGCATTTTTCCCAAGCAGAAAACAAAATTTCACAGTTGCACGCCATTCTTAAAAATTGGCCATCACAAAAAAACAAGTTTGAAGCAAAACTGCTCCTACAAAAAAAAATTCACTGGGACCCAAGTGACACCACTGGGTATGCTGCTAACTCAAGAGTGAGTTGCTCAATGCTCACCTGGGAGGGGCGGGAGGAGGGAGGGAGGGAGAGACAGAGCGGGGTGGGGGTGGGGGGTGGACCTGATGTGTACCGCAAAAGCTCCGTCCAACAAAGCTTTTTCCGGTTTTTCCTTTTTTGGGGGGGGGCAGGGGGTATACTCCCTCATATTATACCCCATTATCAGGCATTGAATATCAAGCTCCAAGGCAACATGCTGCCTACGATGAATCAGCAACCAAACACAGCACTATTTCATTTAACAAGACTATTTTCACATCAAAGAATATTCCTGCTAACTACAGTTGTCCTTTCAGGAATTGTGAAGCCAGTAATCATACCAAGCACAATTACAAAACAGAAAAGCAGGTGCATAGATCAAATGTCTTCTGAGCAATAATTACTACAGTACTTAATATTTTAATAAGAATATCATGGCATATTCATTAAAAAGTCCATTTTCAACAGGCAGCCAGCATACAATTTCTTACCATATCTTAATTTGAAACTACAAAAATGAAGTTCAGTTAGGGATATACATAATGACGGAAAAGAATGCATTACTAACCTTCGTTATTTTTAATGTGCAAGTTGTAAAATCAGAAACCTCCCCAAAAGAAGCTGAGAAAGAACTATACAATAACTACAAAGAAACAAGATATACTGGTAATTATATAAAAGCATCATCAATCCTTACGTAGGTTACGTACACCAAATAAAATGTTATACCTACTTACCAAAAAAGTCAAATGGGTCCCTTCCACCAAAAAATTCCCTGAAGACATCATCTGGATTACGGAATGTGAAACCAAACTCAAATGGACTGTCAAAATGACTTCCACCTATATAAATAAACACAGCATATTTTTTAATTTATGAATTCTAGTCTTTTGTAAGCAATTATTTGTTTAGAGATTATTAAAGAATGACCTATGTCGGACAGTGAAAGATAAGACAAAATAATAACTTGTAAATTATCAAGGGTTCATGAGGGAGGAGGGTGCGGGGAGGGAGGGGGGAAAATGAGGAGCTGATATCAAGGGCTCAAGCAGAAATCAAATGTTTTGAGAATAATGGCAACAAATGTGCTTGACACAATGGATGGATGGATGGATGGATGGATGGATGGATGGATGGATGGATTGTGATAAGAGTTGTACGAGCCACCAATTAAATGATTTAAAAAACAAACAACAAAAAAAGAATGACCTAAAGAAAGGAAAATATTTCATAAAGCAGAAGCTCGAAAACACAAAATGTGAGTTCTGTCTTAATTAAGGTGACCAGACATCCCGCTTTTGGCGGGACAGTCCTGATTTTTAACAATTTTTTCCACATCCCGCAGCGTTTTAGAAAAGTCCCGCTTTTTAGAAAGAATGCACAAGCTAGGGTATACGGCTTTTGGCGGCCATGTGGCTATTTTGCCAGGATATGAGTTTTATCAATGGTGTCCCGCTTTACCAATGTTAAAATCTGGTCACCTTAGTCTTAGTAAGACAATTTACAACTGGGAACAATTTATTAAGTATACTTAGAGATCAAGTTCCCTGAATTTCAGAGTAACAATCCCTTTCACTTAATGCTTTCCCACCACATTTAAGTTTGTTGTCAGTACATGGAATTGCACACAAATAAAACAGACATGCTAAGAAGGTTTATTAAAAGATCAGCAGTCATACATCCTTCCTATTGGGCTGACTGGGTAATTTTTCATTGAAAACAGAGGGCCCAGGCAGGATTATTTTACTTTTCCAATAGTAGCAGGGCCCAGGAATCCATTTTTAATCGACAAAGAATCTTTTCATATCATCAAGTACTGATCAAGGGGGCTAAATGCAAAATACAATAGTAGCCGGGCTCAAGAATCTTTTTAATTGCAAGGAATCTTTTGATAACTTCAAGTATTCATCTAGTATAAGTGCAAAATACAATGACATATTAAAGGCTATAATTTATTACATTAAAGATTATAATTAAAAATAATAAAGATTATAAATAATTTCTTAACTATGGAAAGTACATCAGTGCAATGCTATCAATTTCGCCCTCCTTCCTCCTGTTACACGTACTATTCAGACCACTTTCTCTCTTTTTTAAATCCTTTTATTGGGGGCTCGTGTACAACTCATAACAATACAGACATACATTGTGTCAAGCACATTTGTACATTTGTTGCCATCATTCTCAAAACATTTTCTTTCTACTTGAGCCCTTGTTATCAGCTCATTTTCCCCCTCCCTTCCTGACCCTCCCTTCCTCATGAACCCCTAATAATTCAAATTATTTTTTCATATCTCACACTGTTCGATGTCTCCCTTCACCCACTCTTCTGCTGTACGTCCCCCAGGGAAGGGGTTATATGCAGATCATTGTGACCGGTTCACCCTTTCTCCCCACACCTTACCCTGACCCTCCTGGTATGGCTACTGTCACAATATTGGTCGTGAGGGGTTTATCTGTCCTGCATTCCCTGTGTTTCCAGTTCTATACCTGTTACATGCTCTGGTTTAGCCAGATTTGTAGGTAGAAATGGGGTCATCATAGTGGGGGTGGGTAGGAAGGAAGCATTAAAGAACTAGGGGAAAGTTGTATGTCTCATCGGTGCTGTCTGCACCTTGACTGGCTCATCTCCTCCTCGCAGCCCTTCTGTAAGGGGATCAAGACCACATTCTAAATGCTATATCTATATCTGCACACACAATGCTGGGACTTCAAATTATCTCATTAGCATGCAAAGAGAGAAACAGAAAAAGATTATTTTAGTAGTATATACATACCTCCACCTCCACCGTTTAATCCTTCTTTGCCATATTTGTCATAGATATCCCGTTTTTTAGCTATAATTAAAAATAAATGTCAGTATGTCATATTACATTTTTCTCACTCAAAGTGCAATAAGAATGCCATTTCCCACACTATAAATCAAAGAGAGAATACAGTTTTTTACTTTTTTAAAAATCATTTTATTGGGGGCTCATACAACTCTCATCACAATCCATACAAACATCAATCGTATAAAGCACATTTGTACATTCATTACCCCCATCATTCTCAAAACATTTGCTATCCACGTAAGCCCCCGGGTGTATCAGTTCCTCATCAGTTTTTTAATTTTTTACAAGGTAATAGGCCAGGGCTTACTTTAAAAGAAACTTGGGAAAGGGGGAACATGTTAGAAACGTTTTTTGGTGTGTTTTTTAATTGTCACTGTTAGTCTTACAGGTTTAATCACCCTGAGTAAACCAACAGCCTTACTTTATACATTCTAGAGTAAAAATAACTCTAGAGAAAAAAAATAATTTGCTATAGTACGCTGTGTTCCCACCCACTCCCAAATATTATGCAAATAATGAACTATTGCCTGACTTTATGCAGGTGCACTTGGAGCTCTTGTTCACCAACTGTAATCAGTACTTTGGTCTATAGCCTCAAATATCTCTGCCTTAACTCACATTATGTCATCCAACATTCACCCCAAGGCCTTGCCAAGTCGTTTTCCAGGTTTTTCACTAAGTGTCACTCTGTTCTCCCATAACTCATACACAATTCTTTTCATCCCCATGAAATCACTGACTATCACATGAAATCACATCCAGCCAACAGCTAACCTTGCACCTGATACTTGAAATTAGATCAACAGCTCTTTTCAGCTCAAGATCTACCAGTGCAGCAGTTCTCAACTTATGGGTCGCAACCCCTTTGGAGGTTGAATAACCCTTTCATAGGGGTCACCCGATTCATAACAATAGCAAAATTACAGTTATGAAGCAGCAACGAAAATAATTTTATGGTTGGGGGGTCATCACAACATGAACTGTATTAAAGGTTCGCAGCATTAGGAAGGTTGAGAAACACTGTACTGGTAGAAAATAACTGATCTAAACGTTTTGAAGTCCTTATTTCCTGTATTGGCTTTAATGTGATTTAGTTTCATGAAATTATGTGCACATTAACAGATGGTATATACTAAGAAAAAAAGACATTAACCCAGCTAATACTTATCGGTGAGGATTTTCAATTGCAACTTGGATTACATAAAGCATAGAAACGTTTCATAGTTTAAAAGACAAGTTGGATTAATTCACACAGCCCTTTCATTTATTGGGTATGTATTTGAGCAAATTACTGAGCCAGTGTCCTTTACCTATAAAATGAAGCGAGTAAAGGCTGTGCTGGATTGCTTGGACAATTTTAAATGAAACTGTGCCTATAAAACACTTAATATACCACACAACTTGTTATAAGCACTGACATAAGAGGGAAATCTATGTAGACAGATTAGTTTGGTCACTTGAATAAGTACACTTCACATTTATCAGCACCCCTACATCAAAAACTTTTAAGAAAACACTTCTGATGATCCTTCGACTTTATAAACAGAATCTCAGCCAACTTTCAATATTTCTAGGTATCTGTGCCTAGCAGTATAGGGGCTTATGAGTTGGGCTGCTAAATGCAAGCAAGGTGCACAGTTCAAAATTCGCCAGCCACTCCAAGAGAAAAGGATGTGGCTTTCTATTCCTATAAAGGTTTAGTCTTGGAAACCTACAGCGATGGCTCTTTTCTATCCTATATAGTCTCTATGAGTTGGTATCAACTCAGAGGCAATGAGAAAGGTCTTTTAACATGACCCAAAAAAGAGAACATGACCAAATCCATAATTGCTTCCCCTTTTTTGGGGGGTGGGGGGGGGCGAAACAGGTAAATAAATATAAGTACATCTAAATAATCAAATTATGACAAAAAACTCTGATACCATTTGAGAGCCATAAAAGATATAGTCCAAATTGTGGCACTACCAAGTACAGACAACAGAGTAATGTTCCACATAAATCTCATGTAGTGTGTGAGCAGGTAACCATGATGGAACATAGTGGTTACAGCACTTGACTGCTTACCAAAAAAAATCAACAGTTTAAGCTTACCAGCCACTCTGCAGAAAAAAGATAATCTGCTTCTGTAAATATTACAGCTTTGGAAACCCTATGGGACAGTTCCACTCTGTCTTATAGGATCGCTGAGTCTACAACCGACTTGACAGCAACAAGTTTGTAGGAGCTTTTTAAAGTATGTTATCAAAAGGGAAGTATATAATACAATAGAAATGTATAGGGTCTCATGGCAGTCATTCAGCTTCTCTTAATTCCCACTGCCCTACTTGCTTTTATAGTCATTTTTATTGCTGCTACTTTAAAGCATTATCTTATGAAGTACTTTAGGGTTTAATCTTAAGATTTAACTTGAATGCTTAGAAAGGCTTTTCCAAGAAAAGGTTAATAAAAGGAGGGCATTTTTCTAGCTATTTTGTGCAGGGTAGCTCATTTCACTCCCATAATTTTGATAAAAGAATGAACCTATCTTGTCCATGATGAGATAGTTTCCATTTTTAGTTAAAAGAATGAGCATCACAAAAGTTAGGGTGGTCCCAATTCCTAAGGTTACACCGTTCTGCTCTTTGCTAACTTAGTGAGAACTGTTGACCGTGCATAATGGTCTTAGATACTAAGACAAACGCATCAGATAGGGAATCAGCATGGACTTTGGTAGACCTACCTACTTACAGTGTTCCTGTTGAAATCTTTTTTTTTTTTGCATTAATGGTTTTATTAGGCATATTAAACTCACAATTGTTATTGTTCTGATGCTATAAAAATTTTATCTATAGGGAATCCCTCAACAATAACAAGTTTATTTCACTAACAATTATTAATATTATCTTATTTTTTACCATTCAAAATTTTTTGGAAATGCTTTATTTGCCACTTTTTGTCACTGGTGATTATGTTGAATAGAATGAAACTGGGGGGCAGAACTGGATCTATTCCTGCATGTGTGTATAAATCCCAACTACAATCCAATAACAAAGTCTATAATGCAGTTTAATTACTGAACATTTTAAAGGAGGAAAAAAACCTAAGTTCAAATTCATATGGAAACCAGAATTACTGGATCCACTGAGGTTAGGAGAGCCCCAATCTAATGACCAGAAATCACCTTTACCCCATGAATCAAAACTACCGCATAAAGTCATCATTAAACAACAGCTTGCTAGCCCATTAATAATGAATGTATGCCTGACACAAAATTGTTGATGAGTACAAACTGACCAAAGTTAACTTAAAAGCACAGACGAGAACTTTTATGGGGCAGAAAGGCTAAATTAAGGATAAGAAATTCCTATGGGTGAAATAGAATGTGAACTACATAATCAATGATAGTAAATGGTTCATGTAGGAACTAAGTGGATGTACCTTTCTTTGGCTAACTAAGTATATTGCCACCAAAAATAAATTTTAAAAAGTAGAAATGCAATTTTAAAGCCAATTCATTACTGTGTGAGATAAGACCACAATTATCGATGGAAGTCTTGATTAAAGGTAAAAAGCACCTATGTATTCATTTTCATTTGTAATATTAAGAACCTGTGAAGTTGAGGCTCAGAAAAAAGGAGAGACTTAGTAAAGGTAATTAAGCAGAGGTAGGAGCAAAGTTCCCTAAAACCTTTTTGCCATGTCGCAGAGGCATTTGGAGTTTAGCTGCTGTTCAGCTTTTCTCACTTCCTACTTCCCTTTACCTTGTAAGGTCTCTTCACTACTTTTGTCTTTAGTCCTATCAGTGGTCTTAATATAGCTCTTCCAAAAAATTTATTTGTTATAGGCCACTCATACCTTGTCACAATATACAAATTTTAAAATGTTTGGAGAGGCTGACAATAAGTGAGGTTTGATACAAATTAGCAATGACATATTTTATGAAGCTACTATGATACGGGGTAGGGTTAATGCAAAAATAGAATTAAAAGATAATTGAATGTATCCATGAAATTTTTGATGATCTTCTAAAATATCCATCCTAAGAGAAACTGTTAGAAACTTAGCTACTCCACAACATTAGTAAAACTGTATCAAATGACTGGCAGGAATAAGAGATTCAACTCCTTGAAAGAAAAATATTGGTCATTTTTGTACAACTCTGCTGGTCCTGAAATGGATTCTAATACTTTCCCCTATTTCATCAATCCATTCAGAACCCTTAGCAAGTTCATTATTACTTACCATCTGATAACACCTCATATGCCTCAGCTACTTGTTTGAATTTCCTCTCTGCTTCCTCCTTATTCTCAGGATTTTTATCAGGATGCCACTTCAGTGCCAACTTACGATATCTAGAAAACAAGAAAGTGGTGTTCCTAATGACATTCAAGCTCTGAAACCAATTGGGCTTTTGAAACTAACAGAATGGAGCTGTTTAATTTAATTATAAGAGCTACCTCCCTTCCCCAGTTGCAAGCAAACTCTAACCAGGTAAAATACAGATAGAAAACAATGTTAAGAAATGCCCATAAGATGAACTCAAAGGTATGAGCAATAGGAATCCAACCATGACTATCTCCTGATTCTCAGGAATGTATTTATTTACTAATCCAGCCCCTTATTTAATATATTATTGTGTCAATGTGAATCCACAGTCACAGCATTGTCAAAAAATCTGGTTTCAATGAGACGCGCTTCAGCATATAAGAGTTTTAACACTGTCTTCTGGAAAAATCATGATGAAGATCACATTTTGTTGTAAGGACCTAATATGTCCTAACAATGACATGCTTTGTAAATATAAAGACTAAGAACTAAGGTACAGACACAATCCTGTGTTCTAAGGAACACTAATGAAGGAACACACTACCCTCTAGTGCAGCAGTTCTCAACCTTCCTAACGCCGCGACCCTTTCATAGTCGTACCTTGTGATGTGGTGACCCCCAACCATAAAACTGTTTTTGTTGCTACTTCACAACTGTAATTTTGCTACTGTTATGAATCATAATGTAAATATCTGATATGAAGGATGTATTTTCATTGTTACAAATTGAACATAATTGAAGCATAGTGATGAATCAAATATTTCTAATAACAAATAAATGAAATTTTGTCTTGAAGCATGGTGTGGCATAGGTTTTCACACCGGTACTCGTATGTGGGCACATCTGCAAGTGAGGGGACCCGCCTAGAGACAGAGGAGCGGTGTCTCGGTTCCTAAGACCATCAGAAATGTGTTTTCCAATGGTCTTAGGCGACCCAGGTGAAGGATCGTTTGACACCCCCCCACATAGGGGTCGGACCAACAGGTTGAGAACCGATGCTCCAGTGTGTTGATGTGAAGACTAAGAAATACAAGATATACTACAGTAAGGTTTAATTGTGTTTAGCAGCCTCTATGGTAGGCTGTTAAAATTTTTAAAAATCAAGGAATATAATGTATAATACAATATGCATAAATATATCTAATGTCTTTTAACAAGTTAGGTGTTGGGCCTATATTCAGTACTTTAGCAAAGTAAAAACACTACTACTCAAATGGAGAGAAAGCACATGATCTGCAATTCAAACTCATGTAAGAGTATTAGTGTCTCTGAAGAAATAGATGCTTGTACATCCTTAAACCTGAAACAAAGTTTTGTTTGTCAGTATACTGACAAAACCTGTTGTTCAATCCTTCCCTTTTTTTTTTTGGTGGTGGTTTTATTTTTTTTATTTTCTCTTTTTTAAAAAAATCATTTTATTAGGGTCTCATACAACTCTTATCACAATCCATACACACATCAATTGTGTAAAGCGCATTTTTACATTCATTGCCCTCATCATTCTCAAAACATTTTCTCTCCACTTAAACCCCCGGCATTAGGTCCTCATTTTTCCCCTCCCTCCCCGCTCGCCCCTCCTTCATGAGCCCTTGATAGTTTGTAAATTGTTATTTTATCATATCTAATTAATATTACACACAACCTCATGTTCTGTGTTTGCTAATTGTTAAAAGCAAGATCAAATCTGGTCTAAGTCTAATATATAACTGCTTTTTAAAGGTATTATTTAACGTCATAGTGTCATTTTTTTTCTAAAATTAACTACCAATAAAGGAATAATTTTAATTCAGCCTAATCACAAATTTTCATTTTCTTTACACTCTATTAAATTTCTTCCTAAAATGGCAACGTGGCAGTTTAGGAATTATTGGTGGTTTTGTTTGTGTTTGCATCCCCAGATCACTTTTATTCTGCTGACTGAATTATCATCACAATGTTCCTTTAATGACTTAGTCATTCTGAAAACTATGAACAACTGGCTCTCATGGATAATGAAAACTAACCTATTTTCCAATGACCCTCTAGCACAACTGAGGGCATGTATTACAGCACAAACAAAGTAGTACAAGTGTACTTGTTAATTTATTCAAAAACAGTAACAGTTTGTAACTGCCTCTTTGTCATACAAATCTACCAAATTTTTATCAGCTAATATTATTAGAGCAATGTGGACACCTAATGTTAGAATGGGGTGGGGGGGTGCCAGCATGTTTAAAGAAAGAGGCTACTAAAGTAAGGTTGGTGGTCAAGTGCACACAGAAGCAACTCAGAAGATCTGGTAATATACAGAAAACCCTCCAGACCAGTTTTAGTGACTCATATGGGGTGGCCACATGTGAGAATTGATTCAATAGCAAATAGTTTTAAAGCATACATCACAGAAAATTGTGCGTGGGGGAGGGGCCCAAATTCCACTATTTACATAAATAGTAACCCATTCATTGTGCCTACATGATATCTCTGAATGGACTATTCCTTATTAGTTCACTGGCTAAACTTACAAAAAGGTACAGCCAACACAGAAATTATCCCAATTTAGCATTTCAAAATACCGTAAACGGTTTGGTTCCCAAAAAGAAAAATTTCCATTTAAAGGTCCACCAAGTCTAATAATATAAACTTCATTATGTATTGTTTTTTAAAGCGTGGTTCTTCCAAAATACACTAAAAGTTCATTTCCAATTCTTTTGACCTTATTTATTAGTTTCATTAACTATACCAAAAATATACTTAATGGTCATTTTGCCAAATACAGATGATCCAGATTATGGAAGAGTTCCATTCTTACATTTGTCTTGACGCTAAACTTACACTCAAGATGGAACAGTTAGACAGGATCATATTTAATGTCAGTCAAATGTTTGTCTTCATGTACAGTATAGTATATAGAGTATCTATCTATGAGTAAGAAACATCTAATAAAACAATTTTTAAAAAAGCAACATTAAACAAACACTTCCAGATTCTCTAACATGGCTCTAACATAAGAATATATTGAGGGGAAATGAGATGCTATAACGATGAGCACAAAATTGAAGAAAATGTTATAAAACGGAGTGTGGTGATCACTGTGCAATTCTTCTTGGTGTGAGTGAACTACTTAACAGTGTGATATGTGGATTATATGCCCAAAAAAGGGAGAATACAGTAATAAAAATAAGCTTTTGCTATGTATCATATAAAGTCGTGCCCATTTGTTATACCTTACATCCACTAGGTTGTACAACATAGTTTGCCTCATAACTATGGGATGTACATAAGCTGGACATTCTTAAATTGGAGACTGCCTGTACTCTATAATCACTAATACATCTAAATATTCTAAATGATCTTGAAAGCTAGTCAGTCTACATAATATTGTCGCCTGAGACTAGCCTCTTCAAATCAGGCAGGGCCAGGTCAGAAAGATTAAAATAGACAATAAAATTGTTCTGAAACTTCAATGTGAATCAGAATTGATTCGTATGGTATAAGAAACGATCCAAAACGTTTTCTTTCTTTTTTTTTTAAAGTAATTACACCCAGGAAATTAAGATGCCATTATTTTAGGTCTAGCCTATGAGAAAGGGTGCTTGAGAGTAAGAGTAACCAAATACATTTCAAAATCCAATGTAATGGTTCTTTTACATTATTTCATGTGAATAGTAGTGTTTTTTAATCTTCAATAAACAGACACTGTCCCAAAGACAAAGTACCACAGTCAATCAAGTAAACTTTTTTTATTACCAACTGGCAAAGGGTTATGCCTAAGTTTGAAAATATGAATGTTATTTTGTAAATGCTGTTAAAGTAAACTGGGCACAACAAAAAGGTTCCTACAAAACATTTAAGAGCCCATTAAATAGGCAATCTACAAAATTACACTATTCAATTACAATGAAAATTATGTTTCCTTATTTCAAGAATAAAATTACTTACGCTTTTTTAATATCCTCGGGTGAAGCATGTCTCTGCACACCTAGAACTTCATAGTAATCCACCATGTTTTAACAGATTGTTGGAACAAGTCCTGTAATTAAAAAACCTTTGGTCAATGACAAGACAGCCAGGTTTCACTAGATAATGGGGTGTGGGAGCAGAGGAGGAACCAAAAGGAGGAGGAGGTGGTCGCCACTTCTAAGCACCTATGAGTTCTACAAAAGATAATTTGTTAGCTAATCACTAGCCCTGTCAGGCTGGGGCCTTCTCTCCAAACAGGTTCTAGGACTTATGATCCAAATGCCTTCTTAATATAGAAAAATAAAGGCTCTGAAAGAGCCCAATAATAGCCTAAACTAAATAAAATTAACAGGTGACTCTGAGGCAGGCTCCCTCCTTACTTGATCATTAAGACGGATTCAATTTAAGGATCTTATTTTCCTAAACACTAGATCTTCCATTCAATATGACCCCTTGGCTAGGTATTGTGCAAGGCAGCAAGGACGAACACAGTATGCCTGCCCTCCAGAAACACACAGATTTCTGTAGCTCTCCTACTACCCAAATAGCAAAAGCCCTTCCATACACACCCCAACAAGCTCCACCTTTATTTTCCTGGGAGAGAAAACGGAAATTTGATAAGGTTATTAGAATAATTTTACCTCTTGGCTCAGGTAAATTTTGCCATCCACTTATCAAATAAAGCTATTATTTGCCTGTTGTCAATACTACGTATTTACAAATTATTGTCACAGAAAAAGCCTTCAAGAAACTAGCAGCAGAAATCCTGCTTCCCCTTTGATGGGTTCAGTTGGTTCTTTCTACATAGAGTTACTACAGTGTAAAGCTTAAGATGCCTCTGGTCCCGGAAGGTAAAAGGAAATAGAGGAAAGAGATAGGAGGCAAAGGGCATATATAGTTGTCTAAATAAAGGCATGTACATATATGTACAGTGAACCCTCGTTTATCGCGGTTAATCGGTTCTAGACCCTACCGTGATAAATGAAATTCCGCGAAGTAGGATTCCTTATTTGTAAATC